AAAGTTGACTTGGAGGCACTTCTGTTGCTTCAGATTCAGGGGGGACTTTTGAGCTGTGACTATGGGTTTGGGTTGAAGCTTTTTAATTGCAATGTGAGGAAAACATTTGACTTTTTTCCTTGTTTTTTCCTTGTTGAAAACCAGCCTGACCTGTTTTGCTTGTGTTAGTGTGACAAAAGCAAGCTGATTGCAACAGAGGTGGAAAAAGAAACCCCTTTTCAGAGCAGGGAAGGAACTCACAGCCACTTTGGACAATGGCACTTGGTTCTGAAGATTTAACATGCACCTGTTGAAACTAGTTTCAACATCACGTCATCATGGGGTGTGTGTGTGGGGCGGGGGGGGTTGGTGCCCAGATTTGCCCTGCTTCTATTAATGCCCATGAATTTAACATTAAAACACAAAGACGCCTTTCTTTTTGGGTCTATTCACAAAGGCAGACATTTGCGGATATACCCTGGACCCTGGGATGTGATATCTCTGTCCACCTTCTGCACCCAGGTGTGGCCAGCACCTCTGCGCCAAGCAGTGCTGTCTGTCCCCTCACAGCCAGGTCCCTATGCCTTGTGGCTATCACATTTGCAGCCTATGTCTTGGCAGGGCTCCCATCTCTCCTCCCCATTTCTTTCTGCCTTGCTTTGCCCTTTACTTCTCCCTTTCCTGCCACACACCAGTTTACACCAGTCTGCTCTAGTTCACCTGCTCGTCCCTTTCCTTCTGGCCCCACCTGGTTTGCTGAGATACCTTCCCCCCAGCATTAGCGTAACCTTGCTGTAAACCAGCACTGGAAAAAAACAGCCGGGTGCTGCTGGCATGGGAGTGCTCATCAGTCCCAGTGCAGCTGGGGAGCAGGCTGAGACAAGGTTGTGGACATGGCATTGGGAGGGAGGCCCTGTGGCCCCAGTGTAGCCTGGGCCAGGTCTTTGCCTGGGGAGGGCTGGGCAGAGAGAAGGGCCACCACAGGGTCAAGAGCATCCAAATGAGCAGTGCTGCAACTTTGAAACCCTCCCAGTGTGGCCGCAGCTTCAACCCCATGCAGCTGAACAGCTTGCAGGTGAGTAAGTGTCCCTGTTTGGCACAGGGCTGCTGGGCCCCAGCATAGGACAGTGACACAGTGAGGTGTGGCTTTGTTGCACCAGGCTGCTGAATTGCACCTGTCAGGTGCCAGATGAGTTGCAGCAATATGCATGTTCCCTGCATGGCAGAAAGAAGAGAAAAAAAGAAAAAAAGAAAATGAAAAAAGCACCCTGAGGTCTCCATTGCCCATCCATGCCCAGCCCTCCTATCGTCTCAATACAGCCATGAAGACCCACGTGCCCTGGAAGCTGGGCAGGCTGAGGTAGCTGCTTAGAAAATGGCACACCTTAATGCTTCTGAAGGGAAAGATGCTGCCCAGAGCTCAGAGGATCTCCCAAGACCTACAAACCATCTGCCATATGTGCACCAGGTCTCCCCACAGAGAGCCCTGAGGATAGCATTGGCCTGAGAATTGGCTGTCACCCCGCTGGAAATGTTGGGCATGATGAACACTGCAGGCTTGATCCTTCTTCTGTGGAGATACTTGTCTGGGGTTAATTGCATATTAGCATGGCTCCCCAGAATGTGAGATGGCTGGCTCTGCTTGCACATGGTTGGCCCTTGCAGTTTGTTGACCACAAGGCACCTGCAGTCCTTGCCTGCAGAGCTGCTCCCAGCCTGGCCCAATATATGGGGCTGCTCCATCCCAGGCTCTGCATTTGCTCAGACATTTCCACATCTCCCCAGACCGGCACCTGATCTCCAACAGCACCCTCCTCATGCCATTTCATTCAATCTCCCCATCCTCCCCATCCCTTGCAGATGTAGCTAGATGGAGTAGCCCATTTAAAAAGCCACAGATCAGCCCTTTTTTCAGAGCGCGTACAAGTCCCATCACACTTAAAACCAGTGGGCCTATTGCATCCCCAGATCCACGACCAGCTTTCAACTGGTAATGTAACTGGAGTTTCCATCTCTGCTCTTCTCCTCCAGCTTCCTCAGCAAAACAAGGAGGTCTGCAGGCATCTAGTCTAGAGAGCAGGCAATTAGACTTTAGTTAAAACAAACCATCCACTTGAAGGCAGTCAAAACCTCAGCTCCTGTGATAAAAGCAAGATTACAGGCATATCATTCATTAACTATGCCCAGATTGTAATCTTGATTGCTCTTCCTTAATGAAATAGCTTCTTAACCGCAATGTTAGCTGTTCTCCAAATATTTATATATTGGATACCTTGCTTCCAGTGATGCAATGAGTTAGAAGCACTTCCATCTTCTCCTGGATGGCAGGAGAAGAATTTGCTTTGTCTGAAAGCAAAGAAACTTAATAGAAAATTATGGCCAGCTCCATGGAAAATGCAGGAGTTTCTGATGTTTCTCATTTTACAGTCAGCTTTATCCGTGAGTGATGAGCAAACTGTATGCTGGGTAAAACATCTATACAAGCATCTATATGAATATGAAGTTTCCTTTGTGCTAACAGAATCAAGCACTGAAACCCCATTTGCTTTGAGGATGGAAATGCCTTATTCCTGATTCATGGAAATGCTCCAACATGAGTTACTGGCCTGTGGGTCTGACAAGAGCCCTAAACCTCCTCCAGAGAGCAGAGGCAAGGCAAGAAGAGTCCTGAAGACCCTCATGAGAGCAGATGCAAGTACAGCTAGTGTGCAGACATTGGGGAAAGTGGGAGATGGGTGGTTACTACATTACTTTCTTTAAGTTCTGAAAAGGCAAATGACATTCACCCTACCTCTTCCTTACCTTGCAGCTCCTCCTTTCTACTAGCACACAAGGTGGACCTGCAAGGCTTGTGTGGATTCTCTTGGGGGCATCAGCTAGAAATCAGTCAGACACTTCCCAGTGCTTTGGCTGATGGAGAAAAGATCCACTGAGAACGATGTGTTGTTTTACGCTGCACTAGCAGTGAGAACAGATATTACTGAGTGACCAAGAAGGGTTCAAGGGAGATGTCTGTTTGCAGAGCTCTACTCACAAAAGACAGGCTGGGACCCTTGTGCTGAGTGATGGCCTGTGCACCTCACGAGCTGGGAAAATGTGGTGTGAGATCTGTTTGGGTTGCACAAAGAACAGTGTTCAGGTCCAGGTCAGCTGGGGAGAGCTGGACTTCACAACTTGCTCTGCATTGGGTGCTGCTAGCTAAGGACCTGTCCCTACAGCTTGTCCTTCTTCAGCCCTTCCCAAGATCACACAAGGGCCTGCCCAATTCTGCCATCTCATCCCACTACGCAGATGGAGACCTTGACATCACCCATATCCCCAGTTTTTGTGCAGCAGTGGCCTTGTATGATCTCCTGTGGCACCATCACCATTCTTAGGCCAGAGTATGGGGGGCTTCTCCACATGTGTTGGGTGAGGAAATGCAAGAACAGAGTGTAAGGAACCAGCAGGACATCTCCCAAGTGTGGATGCAATCACCTGCTACTGACACGCACCTTATTCCTGATTCTGAGAAGAGAGAAAATGCTGCATGATCCATATGCTCACTTCAACACAGGGAAGCAAATGACAAACAGTTGATCCAGTTAGTCACTTCGGGCTCTCTCTACTACCCAAACTGAGGCTGTTTTGGGTCAGTGGCACAGCCAACTCACTTCAGCTCACTGTTTCTGCAAGGACAGCAGCAAACTGAAGGTCATCTAAATGCAGCAAGATTTGATTCCTTTAGGCCAGGTTTATTTATTCTTGATTTTGCTCAACAGTTAGATGCAAGCTAAATGTGAGCACATATTCTCAAACAGTAGTTTGATACGATGGTTACAAGAAAGTTTGCAAACTGAACACTTTGCAATCCTGTTCAAGGTGGATTTAGATTGAGCTGGCAAACAGGAATAAAGCCTCCAACCAACTGATCAGCAGGCATGGCCTTTGAATTAGAATTTTCATTACCAGAGTGAGATACAACTCGATTAAATTCACTATGCCTGTTTGTATATACATGACTGCTGTCTTTAGAAACCTGCATTGAAATCAAGGCAAAATATTGCTCCTAAATGTTTTTAACATCAGAACTTCAAATGTAAATTCCCAGGCTGGTCTTGAAGTATTTCTACGGTATCTTCTCCTGTACTAACAAAAGAGGTGGTACAAGCATCTTTTAGCATACAGAGAAATGCCATGACAAGCACTCACAGACTGGGAGGCACAGAAGCTAAATCCTGACTTGTTTTATAGCCTAGATTGCTCTAATACTTTGTGATAAAACATTGTTTGGGTTCGGTTCCACTGTTTATTTTGCCATGCCCAAGACAAAAACATGGTTTTGCCAGGTAGAGCATTGTGTCCTAGCATGTGGATACAGAGTTTATCTTCTGGTGGGACTTGGGTGATGGATCCTCCAACCAGTGAGTTAATCTAGCATTTAGCACATACCTCTGTGTGCTTCAGTTGGAGATCTGCTACATGAAGGGGTTTACTCCATCTCCAGTCAGAGGCTGGTGTGTATCATGACTTTCTCCTTTAATCCTCTGACAGCTGTAGCGCTTTCTAAGTCAGAACTAAGTCAGAGTCCAAGACTCTGCTATGCTCAGTACCAAATTGGCAGAAAATGAAGTTAGGTCTTATCCCAACGCACATGCAGAGGAGAGTACTCTAAGAAAGGCTGGATTGCAGGTTTTGGACTGGATTTCCAATGCCAGTCAAAACACTGCAGTATCCCACAGGAGACTGTGGGGTGGCTTTCCTTAGATATTTGGGCTCTGCCTCACGTGGGGAACTCCCTCACTTGCATAAGTAGTGTTTGCACAACTCCAACTGTTGCCCACCATCACCTTGCCTTCCTTCCCACCCACCGGAAGACACACAACTTCTACCTTCTGATTTCACAGTTCCCCCACCATAATGAGTGAGCCTAGGGAGGGAGATGGAGAGTGCACACATTAACTCCCACTACTGCTGCTTGCTTCAAGATCTCCCATACATTGGCATTTTGCAAAGAAGACCCCAACAAACCTACACTGAACTCATTCTGAGGATTCTTTATTGCTTTCACAATTTTATCTTTTCAGTAGTTTCCCAAGACCTTGTGAAAGAAACATGGGGTCTGTTGATTAAACATCATCTTCAGGAATCGAGTAAATACATGCTTGAAGTCGAAGTCATGTTCACTGGCTGTTTCCATCTGAATGTCCCTAGTCGAACAGTGGTCAGAAGAATTGTGGGAAAGCAAACAGTGTTACTGAATGGTAGCAATGGGAGCAGCAATATGAATGGCATGAGAGAGCTATTGGTGCCCTCTGAAATGTAAGCCTAGACGACCTGTCCATTTGGGCTGGGCTTTCCCAGTTGCATCTCTGAGCAGAAGAGACAGAGGGACTGAAGCTTTTACCATACTGTCCGTCTGACATTCGCCCAGGGAGACTTCTTCATTCCTTGAGCTTCTTTCACTTCACTCCATTCCAGCTTTGTGTCTGGAACCTCATCTTCAGGCTCGGGATCCTCACGGACAGTCCCCTCAGGCAGTGCCACAACGATGGGCAGAGGGCCCTGCTCCTCCCGGAACTCCACTACATAGAGACTCTTCTGATTTGCTAACTGTTGGTGAGTCTCCTGGAAGTAGGAAAGAGAAAAGACAATCAAAGAAATGATGCACAATGTTGGTTTACTTCAGGTCAAACTCTACATGGTATATGGGGTGGGGGGAAAAAAAAAATTTACTAATAAACAGTTTAAACACTGCATAAATTAAATGACTCGTCAGGCTCATCCTCATGGGTTTCAAATGAGCTAATTTTGGTAGCTAGACTGCAGATATACCAGCATTACAATGTCATCCCAGAGAAACTTGCTTCTGGAAAGGATCTGGCCAGAAAAGGCACATCCTGCTAATAAGGATGCATGTTGGCGTGTTAGTAACGTGCAGTAATGTTTTTGTGTCTTCATATGGATATAAATTTTGCTTTGACAGCAGTAAAGTGCTTATTACTGCCCTGACAGGTAATATTAGCTAATATAATCATATAAATTTAACATTATTCTCAACTGTACCTCTTCCTTGCATACAAGTTGTTTTGTTAACAGATTTTACAGAATAAACGTCTACTGGGAACAGGAAATTTTTCCCATTCAGGGCAGTCAAGAAAATTTATCAAGCGCACATCTCTGAAAGCAATAATCTATACAGCAGGCCCTTCTTCTATTCTTCTATTAATTCTGTGAAAGACTCTTCTCAGAGACAATGCATTGAAAATATATGACAGACTTCCTCAAGTCTGTTTAACCTCAGATACTGATAAGCATGTGTAACTATCTCATTAGGCAAAGAGGATCATAACTCCCTTCCCTCCTGAGGCTAAACTGAAAAAGTTGGCTAGGATGGGGTGACAGATTTGACAACTATAGTTTTGCAGGGCTATATTGGGAATGTAAGCAGCTAAATCCTTGCAGCTACCAAGATTCTACGACCAAATGAGATAACCAGGAATTTCTAAAGGACTGACTCATCCTAAGGTTGGTGTTCAAAGGAAGTCAGATGAAATGCTGCATGTTGGATCTTTCCATCAACTACAGACAGCTGGCTCAGAGAGAGACATCTCCGTTGTAACTTTGAGTTACAGGAAATGACACCATCTCCCTGACTTATTTCAGAGATTTTAATTATACTAGCGATAGAAGCAGCTGTGACATTCAGTCCTTAGGCAATGAAAACTTAGAATGCAGACAAACAAGCAGCAGCAACCAAAGCTGGGCCATAACTTCCTCGGCCCATGATTTTTCAAATGTCACCAAAAATACTACAAATGAAAGCCCGGAAATTCAGATGTCCCCTGGAGGCACTTGGCTGTATGTATGAGTTACATACAGCTGTTTCTGACTGGACAATTTCATACAACTGCTGAGGAATTATTTACATGCTGATTTTGTTTGCTCTTTGGAAAATTACTTCATTTTAAGCCTAGAATATAAACTGTTTCACCACAAATTATTACAATATCAATCCCATTCTGTCCCTTGACCTAATGTATAGAACAACTGAGAGTGCAATCTACCTGTTGTGTCAAGCCTTTAAAGAAAGCTCTGGTAATGTTAATCAAGTTTTTGGATCCAGAAACCTTGGCGTACATGTCTTTAATGCCAATTAGTTTGCAGATGGTGATGATAGCTCGGTGGCAACGAAGACCATACCCTGGGGAAAAAAAAAAATTGGCATTATGTGATTATTTGTAAGCATACAACTTAGCTAAGGAAGAAGAGAGAACTAAGACCTCTCAGTTATTTTTATTACCTATCATGTTAGAACACATTGTATCTTAAAAACAGCAAAACCATTCTGGGAAGACCATTCTTGCCAGTCTTTGCAGCCATGCTAACATAAAGATCACGGGTTTTTTATACTAAATATACCTTACTTAACATATTGCAAAACCAAATGAAAATGTCACCACCTATAAACTCAAAACATAAAACCATAAAAAATGCAACCTGAAGAACTGTTTAATACCACAAGTTTGGGTAGTGTTCCTTAGAAGTACCATTGGCAGTTTTAGAAGACTCTTCCACAAACATACCCCATCACCCTGGGAACATTCACCAAACAAAAGGCAATTTCTTTCTCCCACTCAGCAGAAAAATAACACTCTAGTACTTCCCAAAACTAAAAATAATAATAATAAAAAAAATAGCAGAGAAGCAAGGCAACAAGTTTACTTAAAAGAGTATTAAAAAGAAGCCATTACAAGGGGAGAGGATCTAAATGTAACTGGATCCCGACCAAGACTGTCTCTTCTAAAAAGCAATACCTACATAGCTTCAAAACCGCCTCCTTTGCCATTTCAGGTGACCAACTGCTGAATGACAGCTTCAGTAACTCCTAATGATGGTAAATCTGACTTTAAAGTCCTGTTTCACATAGATGACGGAGTGATTTAAACTGGTCTCCTATGGTGAAGTTACTGCTCAAAACAATTGGTATGCACAAGCACTGGTGTCCTTTCGGCTTCCTTCCAGAAGGACCCTGCAGTGGAAGCAAGGTCAGTGTCTCTCATTCCCAGGGAGATTGCTGCTGGATAAGAGGCCTACAGTGCCTTCCTAAAGCTTCAGATTGTGCTCAAGATCTCTATCAGACACACAGCAGGCAGAGAAATTGGGGAGGGAAGGAAAAGGGAAGTCCAACTAAGTCTGTGGGCAGTAATGCTCCAACAGAAAAGTCTGGTCTAAACACAGAGCTGCTGGGAAAGAGGGTGAGTGCCCACTGGCACTGGTGTCTCTTGCTGCTCACAGGCCTTTGGGTAGCCAAATAAAACCTACCACATTTTTATTTTATTCAGCTCTTGGTAAGCAAAGCTTTGAGCAGTGGAAGTGGGACTGAAGCTGCCTGCAAATTGAGGAAAGCATCATTGCACCCACTTATACCAAATTCACACTTTGCAGTTGATCTCCAAAATGTGAACCTGTTACTTGCCTCCCGACTCAGCAACAGCAATTCACCGCTTCACAGTCTATGCAAAAGGTAACAGCCACTAGCCACCAGCCATGAAAAAGTTATGCTTGTCCTCTTCAGGTTACAAAAGCTAGCGGAATACTATGTACTATCAAGAGAATAAGACAGCACAGATTCTCAAGATACTGTGCAGAGACATCACTTCCTTTCTCCTGGCCTAGCAACTGGCATGAATTACACTTTGTTATTACATTAGTGGCACAACGTGAAGGACGGGGAATGGAAATAAAGCAGGTAACAGACTCCTCAGAGTTAAAACTACATTGGAAAGACAGCAAAATACTCTCTATGTTTCCAGAAAAAACTATTCTTTTAATCAGGCTTAAAGAACAAACGAGTGTTGTGACACTCATTTGCTTTCAACTTGCTGTTCAAAGCAATGAGATCATTGAAAAAAGTTTGTGTGTGTCTGTGGAAACCACAGGCCAAATTACAAAAGCTTGTAACTGTAACAACTTGAAATTTGTAGGTGAGTGGGGAAGAGAGACAAACATATTTCAAAATCCACAAACACAACAGAGGTTTGCATGTCATCTGTATCCATCTCCATCACAGAGTGTTATATTAGCTCCAATGCATAATTATAGTACATTAGCATTAATTGCAAATGGTTTCTTAGACTTGCCAGATTTTAATGAAGGAGTTATTTTTTGAGGAGTCTAATTTTGCTCTCTTGTTCCCCAGAGAGATTTGTTTCACGTGGCCTAGCTCTATTAATCTTTAAAAACTGGTTTGTGATAGTTCTAATGTATCTTACTGAAAAGCTGAAAAGCCAGGTTATTGATTAGTCCACTCTGTGGACAGTCTTGCTGCTGAGTAAATGAGGAAAAAAAAAAACCCTATTCCAGTGCTGCATGTTTTATTGTGCCAATATGTCCCTTTTTCTTTTAACCTATAATCAGAAAAGAAACTATAAGCATCCAAAGCCATTTGTTCTGCCATTTGAGAAAATACTGTTTTCTATGCTACAAGACAAAGTCAAGTTTTAGACACAACTACATGTGAATTACCTCTGAAAGGCAGTTTGTCAAAGTTTCATTTTCAGTGACTTAAAGCATTTAATTTTGGCAATTTTACTGCTGCTTTTCTCCCACCTTGTCTCTCCCACCTTGCACACCGTTAACACATGAAACTCAGAAGCCAGCAAACTAGTCAGTCAGTCACTGAACAAAATTTATTCCAAACACAAAAGCAAAGGATTCCAACTGCAAACTCCAGCTGTGGAGAAAAAGTTGGGCTCAGACATTTTTAACTTGTCTGTGGCACTCACGCTGCCTTACTGCGGTTTAATTCAATGAGGCCTATGTAGGAGAACAGGGTCATTTGAATCTAACAAATTTTTTCACACTGAAAAAGATACAAAGGTAACAAAAGGAAGTATTTAAAACGTATCTTTCCTATAAACTAACACAACCTGTTATGGGCAATCTACATTAGATTTTCTGGGTAGCCACTAGTAAGAGTTTGGAAATAGAACATCCACTTTAAATCCACACTAAGGGACTATTCTGAATTAAGTTCACATTCCCATGTTGACATTACATTACTTTTCTAACTTGGATTTTCACTTGTCTAATATGTAATACTGACTATATGATGGGGGTTTTCTCCAGTTTGCAGGGATTAGGAATAAATTCAAGAAAGCAACGTTTAAGTATAACAGTGACTTTATCTTTTCTACTAAAACATCAGGCTTTGTTGCGATCATTTAAGATAGCTGCCTGAGTCCTATGTACAGGAACTGGAAATAAACTGCCAGCAGTAATTATGCAAAGCGAGAGGCTTCAGCATACATAACTATACAGCTGTAATGCCATCAGCAAACAGAAGGAATCTTTTTTACTTTAAGTGAAGACAGTCTACATATGCCATGGTTTAATGTGAAAACTATTCTTGTACCTATTAATTACAGCTACAGGGTATCGGTGCTGGGCTTCACAGCCATGTAACTGTATTTGACAAACTGTTTTGCATTTCCCCTTATTAATTCATATTAGGAACTAATTTACACTACTTAGAGAGGTATCAATGTGGCTAGCAGAGTAGTCTCATGACTACTGTAACTGTAAAGACAAGTCAGAGATGAAGATTAAGAGCTGTCCACACTCCACAAGGTAGCATATTCTGCAGCACAGATGAGCAATATCCCCGGTAGTTTCCATCCAGCTGGCATGTGCTAGAAACAGGAGCTATCTGGAATGGTGGCAGACATAAGTCCAGAGCCTGCCTCAAGTTAAATCTTGTTCTGTAGTATGTCCATAAGTCATTTAATTGTTCTAAAATTACAGCCAGCTCCCACTGCTGCTATGAATCCTTCCCTTAGAGTATAACACACAAGCCTGTCAGGGACTAAGGTAAAATCAGGAAGAGCTTTATCTATACCATCCCTAAAAACTCAATTTTGCATAGACAGATCTAACGTCACAGCTTGTTTTCAGGTCATGAGCACGTAAGTGTCTCACACACACACACACACATACATAATTCACCTACAAAATTTTACATACTGATCTATCATTACACTTCTTAATAAGGCCAACGATGCCTGCTGCCCAGAGCACACTGGACATAAGCACAATTTTTTCTTAGACAACATCAAAGCTGTTTCAGGAAATGCACCGGTTCCATCACTAGTTCCATCAGTTATAAAACAGGGAAAATATTCATTAAGTGGAAAAGTGTTTCCTGGTTTTTGGAGGATACTAGCATATATGTGAATGTGTTGTATAACTGAGAAGGCTGACAAGATACTCGGACAAGGCAAAGCACTGGCCAAAAGCACTAGCAACAAGCTACCAAGGCTAAGGTGCTAATGTGACAGAACTGGACTTGTATTCTGACACAGTTTGGCATGATACTCTCAGAAATAAACTAGGGAAATAAGAACCGGGCAAAATCATCATTAAAGTATGTATCCCCATTAGCAGCAGTCTGCTGCCAGGCCAAGAGCATTTTCCAGATAGGATCCTGTTGTGGATTTGTTATGGCTTTAATACGTGCAAGTATCTTCGTTGACGACTTGGATGGGGGAACAGAGACTGAAAAAAATGGGTTGAGGATATAATCTTGGGAAAGGCTGCAAGCATACTGGAGGTCAGGAGACGTCAATGTAGGTCTGACAAACTGGAGACACAGTTTGAAACCAAAACACTGAAATTCACAAAGACAGATGCAGAGCGCTTTGCTGAGAAATCAAAAGCACAAGTACAAAATAGAGGAGACTGACTGAACAGCAACAGAAAAAGGATCTGGGGATTATAATGGACCACAAAAAAAACCCCAGAGATCAACAGAATTATCCTGCTGCAGCACATTTGAAGCCTAGAACAAAATGCATGCTATTTATGTTTTTCCAAGCATTATCAATCAATGGTGTTCACATGTGTTAAATGTTGCTCAATGGTGTTAACAGCTTTAAGAGGACTAAACCCCACCTGCAGTGCGGACACAGGCACAGTCCAGTAGAATAGCAAATGCAACCTCCGGGGAAGGTGAAGAAGGGAAGCTAGAGGGCTTCAAGAGGAGGGCTCCAGCTCCACCTAAAGGCTTGCCACTATGAAATAGGTTCACTGCCCTCAAGGCTGAGGAGGAGCCAGATGTGCTTTAAAGCAAAGCATCTGGGCCAGCTGACCCTGAACAATGCAAGACCACTGGGAGGAAGCAGTGACTGATAGCCGTGGGCAACT